TCCCCGGGCAACTCCACTGGACCTACTCCACGCTTGGCTTCCAACTGAGAACAGATCTGAGTGATTTAATTTGGATAGCTGCATGGAGCAGAGGGTTGAATTCAGTGACCTAAATGGCCGAATTCCATTTCTGATTCTGTGGCATATTGTTTCAACTGTAGATGGCAGGTCTGTTTTATGTAGACAGAATAATGCAAACCTAAGTTGGATTACCCAGAAAAAGGTCACACTGAGTTACATTTGGATTGTTCTCAAGAGAAAGTATATATACAGGATTTCAGATTGAATTATTTTCTTGCATTTATTCCAATCCACCAACACTGACTTTCAAGTTGACAAAGTAATAAAATGCCACTTAAAATCTGAATAGTAGATTATTTCCATCTTAAAGCCATTGCAGCTAAATTAAATGAATGAGTTTTCAAGATATTACATCTATAATTTCAGACAGAATGACTGGATTAATGCATGCCACCAAGTTTTATCATGGCTTGTGTGATATTAGTTTAACATGAGATGAAAACTTGGTTATGAAAATGGGGATGCATGGTTTATTTATGGTTTTCTGCTTACTATATTTCTACTTTGTTTTGCATCCTGCCCAAGTATCTGATCAATTTATAGAGGTGTCAAGCAAAGATTTCTAAAAAAGCAGAGAGAATAAATACAAATCAGCCAGACAAATCATGATTATTTCACTTTACTGCATAAATGATTCTGACTTGTTAAAAAAAACCCTGTGTTTTAGATATATACAGCCAGGTTTGATTGCATCATGGTTAATAATAAAATGGTTAAGTTGTGAAGCAGCCCTGACTGTTCTGCTACTTCCCCTTCCACTTCAACAGTTGCCTTCCATCTGCTTTAAGTAATTTAAAATAATACTGAATACAGTTTCTCTGGATTGAAAGAGCTGTCTTGTCTAAACTTTTTTTCTTTTTTTTTTTGCAAACAGCAGGGAAAAAATTATGATATTCTAGTCACAGCTCACGTCACCGCATCTCTACTGGAGAGTGGTATTTCAAATTCGGTAAGATTTTATTATGATTTTAGTGTTATGTGGTTAGTAGTTAGTGTCTAATTCTGGACACTGCATTTTAGGAAAGGCATTGATACATCCAATGGAGACCAAGCAAAATGATAAAGGGCCTGGAAGGAAAAAAATTATGAGGGACATTGTAGGCATTGGGTACGTTTAGCCTAGAGAAGAGAAGATTGTGGAAAACATGATAGCTGTCTTCAAGGAGAAGAAGTAGAAGTCAGGACAGACATGTTCAGAGTTCTTCTAGGACAAGAAACAATGGGCTTACTAACAAGGAAGTAGATTTTGGCTGGACATCAGGAAAAAATCTCTAAGGTAAGAGTTATTCAGTAATAGAACATATTGCCCCTGGAGGTGGTGGTGGGATGGCCACTTGTAAGGATGCCATAGTAGTGAATTCCTGCACTGGGCAGGAAGTTGGACTAGATGATCACAAACCCTTACATTCCATTATTCAATATGTGTTATATTGCAACAAACAGAACAATTAAAATTATAAGCAGGATATAAATGAAAATAGTGTGATTACTCTGAGTCAGTAGCTGACAGCAAATTGTGTTTTCGTTGCTGTTTCTTCTTCTTTTGAGTTATGCCACTATTTTGCAATCAAATTCCATTAACCAAGGAAAAATAATAAATATAATATTTGGAGGTGAATGCTAGAGTCACTGAGAGTTGGACGGCATACAAATTAATAAATTGTTGTTATTATTATTATTACTATTTGAATTAACTATGTTTCTATGATTCTAACAGTAAGACTGAGTGTTCTGTGATAGTGACAGTTCTAATTAAATATGTTCTGACTATACCTGGGCTTGGACTGAATTGAATTGGCAAGCTTACTGAAGTGAATGGTGCTATATATCACTGGCTTGTGTGTTGTTTAAATATATAATAATAACTGCAACTGAAGGGTATTTATTCTGCAATAAGTACCCTTCAATATGCATGTTTCTGACTTTTATTTATTTTTTAAATATTTTGTTTATTCCAGATCTGAAAGGCTTTTTCTGCATCAACATAAAAAAACAAAATATAGCAACAAAACAAAAGGAGTAAACAAAACTGAATTAAGAATAAGAACTGAGATACCCACAGTCAGTTCAGCTTAGAATTAATACTGATTTCAATTGTTTACAAAATATTAGAAGAGTAGGGTCCACACAATACTCCAGGGAAATAGAATTATAGAGGACCAGAGCATTACTACTGCTTCCTACCAGCACTACTGCCTCCTCCCTGAGAGATAGGTTAGAATTAAATGGAAAGGATGTAACTGGGAGGGAAGCATAGCAAAGGAACATAGATAAACTGGAGAATTGTTGAATATGAGCCACAGTTTTGCAGAGCTCACTTCTAAGTGTGAATGAGTTGATTCTTCTGGTTTAGTTTGGTGTAATGCATCTGTTTTGAAGTAAACATCATGCCTCACTATTTGTAGATTTTTCCAATGCATATACCTCTTGATTATTATGTATACCTAAGTTGAGTTTTTGGGGTGGTCTGCAAGTAATTTAATCATTTACGGCTGTATTTTTTATTCTCATTTTTAGGAGTTATCCCAAACGCTTTTCTTTAGTTTCTCCTAGTAACCAGGGGGTTGGGTCTGTGTGTAAAACTATTTTGTCATACGCAACTCGTTTCTGCTAAGGAATATGTATGTATGTATGTATGTATGTATGTATGTATGTATGTATGTATGTAT